CTACTTTCTTTGATGTCGTTACTCCCAAGAAAATTTTTTACCAAAAAAAATAATCATCAGAAACTTCTTCTAGGATTCCAGATGTAGCAGCCCCTGAATCGCCGCGATTCAATTCTTGTGTGTCTGCAGATCTCATATGTCACCTTCCCAACTATCTCACATTGCGACTATCATGAGATTCAAGCAACGTCTAAGTTGTGATCGCATCGTCACCTTCCCAGCTCTCTTGAGTTGAGAACTGTAAGTCGCGATCATTCGTTGTTGCCTTCTTCTGTGAGTTACTAGCCCGTCATTGCCTTCTTCGATGAGCCGCAATCCCGACGTTGCCACGATCCCTTCACCTTTCGAGCAAAATTGCGTCTTACGTCGTGATCCCGGGAACTCCCCCGTAGGCTCGTCGATCGCCGAAAACGTGATCCCATTGCCATCCCCAAGCCGATCACCACAGAATCGCAGGGTTGATCACGAAGGTACGAGAGTCTGACAATATCCCAAGTTCGGTCACGTAGCCGCCTTCGTAACAAGCTATGATCGCAACTGCTTGAGTGTAAGCTACGATTTGCTTCAGATTCTGTAAAGTCAATCAGGTCCTCTCTTCTTTCGATCCGATTCCCATAATCTTTAGCTCTGATACCAAGTTGATACAATTTGGCGTTGAAATCGGCAAAAATTCTTGTAGAAATTAGGGCAAATAGAATTTCTTATTGTAATAATCCAAAAAAAATCACACAAATACAAAAGGTAAACACCTACAGTTCGAGAGGTAGGCGATCTCTCCACCTATAACCATTTGAGAGGTAGGAAATCTCTCCAACACCCTAAACCTATGATTCAAAATTCAATCTCATGCATAAACCTAACCCTAAACATAACAAGTCTATTTATACCCAGCAATAATAATAATAATCAAAGACTAAATTGCTCTTAGATGTACAAAAAATAAATTTGCCCTACGAAAGGCACCCTCGTAACATAATATTATCATTCCATTGTCTTTTTGGGTTAGCTCCAGTATCATTCTACTTCAATAACTTTACAAAAAAAGAAAAAAACAGTAGAAAAAGGGCAAATTTCACTTGGTCCCCCTATATTGCATGCCATATTGCCATTTGATCCTCAGTTTACCTTGTGCAATTTCATTGTCCGATATTGTACAAAGCCCAAAGAACCCAGGCCTATTTTCACTACATTATCTTTGGTATTAGCTTCCAATGTATCCACCTAGTTTTAACGCACTTTCATCTTAACATTTCTAACTTTATATTTACCAATGACTTTATCATTCAGAATTCACAATTAATTAGCTCAAAACTATACTAGAAAATCTTTAAATTGCATTGCTTCATTATCGTTAAATTAAATAGCGCTCTCAATTTTTCTCGCCCAAAAAGTCCTCATTATATATGGCTTAAAGAGTTCGATTAAGCAGCGGACGGGTGGTGCATACACAAATGCTTCAACTACAGAACTACAAATGATAGAGCATGGTGCACGGAACCAGTGTGTAAAACTTTGCAAGGTCCTTTTTATTTACAATTCACCATGCAGCTGGACATTTCAAAGGTTTATTTTTTGAAGGGGTAAATAAATAAGTGATGACCACTAGCATTTCAATCATTCCTTTCAAGTTAGACAAGATTTACATGTTCAGGACATCAATAATAAAATAAATTATAAAATATTGTGATGATTATGCATAACCGACGGTAGAGTATGAAAATACATTGTCTTGGCCTTGCATGATGATCTCACACGCCCACAAATGAAATATAAAGCAAAAAAGTAGAGCAAGATTTTTCACTTGAACCAACTAAAAATATAAAAATCAATAGGCCTAGCTCAATTAAAAAGATTTCATTATCTAATTAAAGTTAAAAACTTCATCGTCCCTTGAATAACGGAATGCAGTTGATACCGGATTTTAACCAAACAACGCTGAAAAAACAAATACTCTTACTATAATCAAATAGAAAATTACAACACAAAAATACGAAAATCTTAAATTACAAAAAATGACAATAAAAACTCAAACTAGAGTGGATCGTGGGCTGATGGTGATGATCAGCGAGGGAAAGTCCAACACCCAAGAGGGGTGCAGTTGCGTTGGGATCGTTCCTAAAACAAAGCATCTGGAAAAGTGGCGCCCAAAAGGAGTGCAATCACGCTATGATCGCACCTTGGACCAAACAACCTGAAAAGTCGGCATCCAAAAACTGCTTCGAGCATATAAGACATTTAAGTCTTTGATGCGAAATTTGGAGAGGGGTGTCTGTGGTGTGCGCACACAGGCGACAGAACGAGCAGTGCGTGAAAAAGACTAAGCGATTTCTATGGGTGGATTTTAGCGATATCTCTTGTGTGAGGAGAAGCATTCAGCAGTTCTAGGGAGTAGAAAGGTTTGAGTGTATTGTAATATGTACAATGTCTCCTCATTTCATAGTGAATTTCTTAATTTGGAGTGGCTTCATGGCTTCTTCCTGTTCTCGAGTTTTTTCACATTACATCTTGGCATGCTTTGTATATTTTTCAGTAATTATTTGTTTGTATGCTTCGGTTCAAAATTTATAGGTTTATCATGAAGCTGGGATTTTTACTTCAATTTGTAGGTTTATCATGAAGCTTCTAACATGTTTCTTTTGTGCGAAGTGATTCTTTGCAATGTTTGCACAATTGTTTCTTACGAACCTTTTTTTCAATATCAATCCCTTTTGACACAAGCCGAGTTCTCCTATTCAATGTTACAAATTAATTCAGTGTTTCACATCATAACTTTTCTTATCGACTCTTCACGTCTAACTCCAGAAAAAAGTTCTCAAAACGAGAGTATAGGTTTCCTACCAAGGATTTGACCTCAGGCTTTGTCTAAACAACATTAAGACTAGCTAAGAACATGCAGACTTGGTTATTTTTCTCAATAGCATAATCATTTGAATTCTCCCAAATATCATCAAAACAATGATCAAGCCCCTCTATAATATTACACTCATTGTAATATGCAGTAACATCACTGTCAATTTGTTTGAGTTTCCAAAGCTGAGTTTTCAACTCAAAATTTTGTGAAGAATTCTCCAAGTTTGCAAAGAGAACTCAACAGTCTCCCAGATATCTTATGGATTAAGCCCACTTGAGATAGTTGTATCCATTAAGTTTTAAAACTGTGAGGTAAGGTGGTAAATTCTGAGGAAAATATTCAACTGATACAGCCATCAGAGGAGCTATAGGGTGAGGTGAGGTGATTTTGGAATTACTGGAGCCGGTTGATGTAGTAGAACTTCTTTGAACTCTTGTCATCACTGTTCATTTGTATGGTATCCTCAGAATCTGAGAAGAGCAGCACACGTGCAGTGGCTACCTCAAGGAAAAAAAAGAACACGCCCTAGTTCAGATACAAGCTCGGCCTGCAAATCTCTCTGAACGTCGCAATCAAGTCCTTGCCTTCTTAGGTGCCTCAAATCACGATTGTATCCCAAGGGGTCTTTGAATGCCATGATCCAATCATTGCCTTCACAGTTAGCTCTAATCATGGTTGTATCGCGAGGAGTCTCTAAACGTCGTGATCCACTTGTTGCCTTCCAAACTAGCTCTAATCGTGATTGTTTTGCGAGAGGTCTATCACGAAAACGATCGTATTGGGTGAACACATGAAGGGCAAGAGCGAAGCAACAGAACCTGCGCACGATCAACGGGATTAAATCGTTATTTAGAAGGCAAAGTCACTCTCATAAAAAGTTTTAAGAGGGGAAATAATTATTCCTCTTTAATTTCATAGAAAACGATTCCAAGATAAATAGAGGGGGATGACTCCCATATTAAGAAAATAATAATCAACCATAACTATTATGATAAAAAAAATAAACAGGAATTATGAAATACCAATTATCTAAATTTTAAGAGTAAGAAATTCTAATAATAAAAGGTACTAAAAATAATATCTTCCAAAAAATTCAACAAATAAGATGAGAAATATTTGTCTTAAACAACATTTAATGCCTTTGTGAAACTACAGTGAACATGACTTGTAGTGTTGCGGAAGTAAATAATTTTGACAACGAATTGTATTAAACATCTGTTCCACAGAACAGAAACGTGCTTAAATTCAGAATGGCAATAGTTCCCGATGATGAATTCAAGAACATAGCAGCATAATGTTTCCTATTTCATCAAAGAACTCTCTTGTTAAACAAAAAAAAAAAATCAACATCATCAACATTAAGGAAGAATACCAAATGACACTTTTTCTTATTGAACAACAAACACATGTGACGCCGAACTAGGGCAACTAATCAGCTGGGAAGGTCAGGAAATGGGTTGTAGGATTAGGAACGGAAGTGAAAATGGTGACGATGGTCGAAGAATGGCAAACACTGGTGTTAGACAGCAAATCGGAACAGTTCGGCTGCTGTCCGGTAGGAAATCAGCAAGGCGAATGGCAAAGTACGGACAACGACGAGGTTCCACTACCTGTTCTCTTCAAGAAACAGATTTACCACTTGAAGAAACATAGGCTACAGCTCTCCAAATAGGAGAAAGTTGGGAGAAAAATTAAGTAACATTAACTAAAGCAGTAAGTGCCCAAATCAGGTCTAAACCAATATATTTGGACAAAAATTAAACTATACTTAGAAATCAAAAAAAAGAAAATAAGAGATCACTCTAAAATGGCAAGAAATCTTGTTGAAGTGTACTCTCGAGACGTGAATCAGCCCTGTTCAACTGCTGCATCACGCGTAGTCCCGCAATTGCGAGATTTCAGATATCGTTCCCACGTCAACATGGCTCCTCAATTTCATATTACGCACGAATGTAAGAAAATTTATGACCATCAATTTACAATCTTCTACGGGTAAAATCATCTACATAATCCATATCATCAAAATTGAGATAATTGAGATCATACAGACAATGATGTTACCATGCAATCATTTTAATGAGATAACAAATAAATTCTAGAAATACATCAAACTATGGGAAGAAATTTGATAATGCTAATTAAAACTCACATCCTGGTCCATTTGTATGTTGGCATCATCAAGGGTCTTCTCCATGTCATTCATCAAATCATGTTTTTGATGGCCATAGTAGTCCCAAATACAAACCTGTAGATAAAGTGAACAATATTATGCTGATTGATAAGCACATGCATAAAACAAGTAAAAAATACTTACATTATCTAAGATAAGGTCAAAAACCTCGCAAGCTTTTCTATGAAGTTCTCTAACTGTTTCCTGCAAAAGTTTAAAAAAAAACCATTACAAAGCTTTTCCTTGAAGTGTATGCCATTTAAAATCCCTTGCAATTTTGCTTTATAAACTTAAGAGAACTAAAGGTTGAAACACAATAGTAGCTCCAATGGCAATCAAACAAAATCAAGGAATAAAATGCATAACCTTTTTGCTTATTCTAATAATCGCTTGCTCCTTTTTCGGTGTTAGAAGCAGCTGAAGCCGTAGAGGATAGACTTCTACGTACAAATCTGTTTGAGATGAACCTGAATTGATAGTCTTACGTGGCAAAGTTGGACCTCCTCCGTACCTGCAATCAAAAGCAAAGGCATAATAAAACTGAATTCTGATTGAAAAAAAAGTTTATTCCACAGAAAGCAACTTTATGAGACATGTGAATATAAACTAATGCTGATGAATAGAAAAAAAAAGTTCTCATTACTCTTAAAAAAAGTTCAGAAAGAAACTGTTCGAAAAATGTTTGGATACAAAATAATTTCTACTCCTTAGAATGGAAGAAGGGAGTAGTCATGCTCTCATTACTCAGAAAAAAAGTTAAGAAAGAACGTGTTCGAGAAATGTCATAAAATACTAACCGTTTAAGTCAAATTAAATATTAATTTAAAGCCTAAAAAATTCATGACAAAAGAACAGAAAAGGAAAACAAGAAAAGAAATCTTCATAGAATAAGAGTTGCAAAATTTCCACTCCTTAGAATGGAAGAAGGGAGCAGTCATGATGATGAATAGACAAAAAAAAAGTTTTCTTTACTCAGAAACAAAGTTAAGAAAGAAAATGTTCGAGAAATGTCCGGATGCAAAATAAAATATTGACCGTTTAAGTCAAATTAAAATATTAATTTAATGCCCCAAAAATTCATGATAAAAGAACAGAAAAGGAAAAACCATAAAAGAAATCTTCATAGAATAAGAGTTGCATAATTTTCACTCCTTGGAATGGAAGAAGGGAGTAGTCATGCTCAGCAATGTTCACTAGACTAAAAACAAAACTAGAATACTAAGGGTCTTGTTGACCTCGCTTTCGGTCGAGGTATAGTTTTCCCTTCCTTAGTAGCCTAGGATCTAGCCGTAGGACATTTATGTCGACTACTCCTAAAAAACTAGTGAAGGAGCCCTCCCAGTTAGCAATTCTAGACTTTTCTTCGCTCGACTTGACGTTCTATGTAGTAGTCTTAACCGCTATTGCTTAGCAGGTAAGGCTACTCCAAAGGAACTCACGGAGCATTCCTATAGGACTGCCGGCCTTAGGATTGACTCTACTCGTTGATTTGGCGCCGCTGTGCTCTTCGTCGTCCTGTTTAATCGAATTCGAGCTGAAGTTTTGATAGGATTTGGACCGCGATGCGTTTTTAACCCAATCGACGACGAGGTTGCCCGGACAACTCCGGATGACGAAACGGACTGTGCCGACGCGTCCGGGACGTCGATTTTGCTTAGGAGAGACGTTTGTTTCGTCACGAGGGCATTTCTGGAGAAGGAGATGTGCTTAAGTATTATTTATAATAATAAATAATATTTTATTATTATAAATAAAGCTTATAAACCTAATCCCTAATTTCATTTCCCCTCTCTCGTTTTCGTCTCTCGCTCGTGCGTCCGTCCCTCTCGTGTCTCTGCTCTGGTCGCTGTGGTCCCTCGCGTGATCCCACGAACTCGAGCCATTGGAACGACGAAGGTTCCCGCGCCCCTCTCGCAGTCGCTCATTCCTCCTCATCATTTGCTGGCTCCTCGAGCCTCAAACAATATGGCGCGCCTCTGCGCTCGATCTCTGTGGGATTTTTTTTCAATCATTCGTTTTCTTCTTCCCTTAGCGTATATCAGAGCTCCTCTGTGAAGCTTCAAGAGGGCCGAAAATCATTTCCAGGGGAGGACATTTCTCTATTATTCTTCTCTACTCACTCTCTTAAGTTTTTTGAACTCTCCTTGTTGCTGGAGAGAGATGTTGGCTAGGGAATACTTTTTTGCAACTCCTTTTGTGATTTTACTTTAAGGAGGTACTTCCCTCTCCCCCTGTGTGTTGCCTTTTGTTGCCTCCCCCTGTGTGTTGTCTTTGTTCGGCCCTACTCTTTATCGAGCCCATGCGCTTTATTTGTGTTCGTCCCTGTTCTCTGTCGAGCCCTGTTAACATGCTAGAATAGGAAGATTACTATTTGCCTCATTCCTAAACATGTTCTAACTTATTCTTTATACATTAGTTATGTGGGAATGGCATTTAAAAGCTTGAGGGTGTGTATTTCCTTCTCCCTCCCTTTCTCTGTGCTTTACTGGCTCCCGGTTTTAACCTTGTTGAGTCTCTCATGATGATTTCAGGGTATGATTTAGCACTCTAGTTGCCATTATACTTGTATTTGGAAATGTTTATCACTTAAAGCATGTAAAAGATAAAAAAAAATATGCATATATGCTAAAAGTTAGATTTAGCATACTATTAGTCCTTTCTTTTACTTTGCTTATCTAAAGTGATGAAGTCATGGCATGTTTCCTATCTCCCAAGGCATACTTATATTGGAAGTAATTAAGAGGATGGTTTTGAAATAATTTGGCCTTTCTCATGAGCATGTTAGTATATGTATTATGAAGCTTTCATCCACTTTCACTCAAAGCATGTGGTAGTTCTATTTTGAGATGTCTTAAAGGCATGAGAATATTGCTCTAACTTTTATTATGGCTTAGTATTGGAGGTCTCAATTGCAGCTTGGTTTTCTACCCTCACTTGGCTCGGGTTTTGGCCTATATTAGCTCGGTTTTGGTCTTTTACTAGTTCTTTTTTTTTAGTTGGAAGATTGGTTTGGCTTTGCCTTTGTGCCAAGCCATGGTTTTGTCTGTGGTGGCTCGGGTTTTGAGCTTTTGTTGGCTTTAGCTTTAGATTGGGAGCCCGATTTTTGCCTTAAGAGTGATTGGAAGTTGATTTATGAGGAAGCTAGGTTTTTAATCTCTGTTGGAGTTTTTCTTTATCCCTCATTCGAGAGTTGTATTGACCCTAGTTGGAGGCTCGGGTTTGCTTCGTTTCGCCCCTGCCTGAGAGGAGGATGTGGGTTTTGGCTTTCACTGACCTTAGCTCCTACCCGTAGGACCTATTAGAGTTTGTTGAATTTAATTTAACCCCTCTTGTTGGGCTTGAATCACTTGAATGATTGTAGGCGGATCAAATTTGTTACTTTGAGATATTGGTGATGTTTTGTACTCTCTTATGTATATCAAAAGTTTTATGGAATTGATTTGAGTCGCCTTGGCCGTGAGCCTTCCATTTCCCTTTGCCTCGTGTCTTGGCTTTCGTCTTGGTTGTGAGCCTTGCTTACAATGCTTTGGAGTTGGTTTGGACTGCCCTGTTTGTCGTGGCCATGAGTCCCTCCCTTCTTTAAGTTCTAACCGTGGGTTTCTCCCTTTTATATCAGTCTTGTTTTGCCTTGGCCGTGAGTTACCTGTAGGAGTTTATTCGGGTCTGGAGCTAGATGGTGCTGATATTGGCTTTCACCCGGTAATTTTCTTGGCTTTACCTGGCCGAGGATCTTGGTAGTTGTCTTCCTTTCTCTACTGATATAGGTCGTGGGTCTTACACCTCGGTGCATTGGAAAAATTTCGTGTTTGTTTGATGTGTGAGGCCATGGATTAATTTGGGAGTTGGGAGATTTTGACATCAACTTGGGGTTTGGAGGATTTGCAAGACTTATTTGGGAGAGAATTTGGTTGATTTGATTAATCTTATGTTTTTGGGGTTTAAAAAATCAGCGCAAAATAGCCTTTTATGTTTGTTAGGAAAGACCTTGGGCCCTACTCTTTCAGGTCTTTTTGATAGGAGTTTTGAAAACTGATCTATTCTTCTTTTCGGTGTTTTAGATAGATCGGTGTCTTCTCTCTCTCACCCTATTTTTGTTCTTTTCTTTCCTTGTTTCTTGGTTCGGTTTTCGATGCTTATGTCTGATGCATAAGACGACGCATAAGTGTCCACGTAAATCCTTTTGTTATACATGAAACCATCAAGCAAGATCGCAAGTAGTTTGTTTGGGGCGTAGGGTGGTGATGATAAAGGCACGCTGAAGATAGAGCAGAAAGATGTCATATCCTATAACATCAAGATCCAGGTATTTGATGAACAATAGGGTAACAGTATCTTTCACCGACATAAGTCTAGCGGGAGTTGGCTCGAACCTCCCCAGGTGGATGGCAGTCTCACGTCTGATAACGTAATCGTCTTGTGGACAATAAAAATTGTTAAAACTTATTTCAAAAAAATAAAAATATATTTTTCGCTATAAAATAAAATTTGATAATCTCTTTTTTGAGACCTATGTGCATGTCAAAAACATAAATTTTAAAATACATTTTAAAATTGATTGTCCACCTGACGAATACTTGTTTAGGCTGAGAAATAACCCTCAAGGTGAGGTTCAAGACACACTTATAGACGAGTGACGGGTTCTATACATTCGGATGACCGAGTTTCGTGGACCCTCGAGTATATATATACATATCTGAGCCTAGCTCCACATGAGTACTTGCGGTCCCCTTTACCCGAACTTTTTTTGTTTTATCGAAGCTTTGGGACATGACACTCGTGTTTCTTTTCTTTTCTTTTGGTATTTCTCTAAGATTTTTTAGGGTTTTTACTTGAGTCTTTTCTCGTTAATTTTCTCAAGTTTTCTGTCATGAGTCGTTGTTACACTCTTCTTCGGATTTCCTGAATGACGTTTCTTCCAGACTTCGTTTTTTACAATGCATTTCAGCTTGTTATATTTAAGAAACAGCGGATCTCACGGGCGTACAGGTTTGTTTTACATTTACAGCATTTCATTTCTCTGCTTATACCTGCTACTGTTCTGTACAGCTGTCGGCGCTTAAAAGGGGGGAAAAAGTTTAAATGTTTGGGGGTCGCCCGTAAGAAGCTGTCGGCAGCCGGAATCGAAACACCGTCACCCGCTTCGGAAGGACTTTTTAATTTACGTATATATATATAATTTTAAAAAAATATGAAATCAAACTGACCTCATATTTTTCACAGTTTAAATGAAAGA